CACACACACACACACTCACTCACCCAGAGCTCCAACTGCTTTGTAGGGATGTTAGATACAGTGCTTTCACTGGCACTGATCAATTGAAATTATTAGTGGGAAGTTTAGGAAAACCCCTGAAATTTAGGTTAACTGCTCTGCAAAGTCCAATGTGTTTTCCTATTAAACTATAAAGATTATAAAAAGGAAAGTGGGATCAAGTGTGACTTCAGTGGAGCAGTGAAGCTTTATTAGATATTCCATCAACCACTTAGGATGCAGCTGATTTTAACACACCAGTTTGAAACAATCTCACTCAACATGATGCTGAGTCTGCCACCCTAATCCTGGAGGACACACCTAGCTACTCTTTCTATCAAGAATCCAATACCATCCTCCCAAGTGTGTGTGTGTGTGTGTGTGTGTGCGCGCGCGCGCCACTGAACTATCCCATGCTCCAGTGTACGTTCAAAGAAGAAGTGGAATTGCATGAAGGTTCGCCGATTTGCGACGTGAGGACACTTGTGGAAAAAATAATTTGTGTTATGGTAACACTTCAGGACCATAAAAAAAGATCAAGTTTATAGCCAAGGATTATATTGAATAGACGAGATTGTGCCAGTGTGGGCTTTGTACGTTTTTTTTTATATAAGTGTGTTCTGTTCTTGTATTAACTTTTGAGGTGCTTATTGTTCACAACCTATGGGTGACAATACCCATTTTACCACATTAACATTATCATGTTGTCTCATGTTGCAGGAATGCAGCCTATCACTGTGTGTAACCTGCGACATCATTTCTTCAGAGGTCCAGTCACAGTTTCCCTCCCGGTCCAATTTGTTTGTGCAATGTTGCAAAGTGGACCATCACACCAGGCAATGTGTACATAATGTAGAAGCCATGCACTAACTTCACTTAAAAAGAATATCCCTCTTTATCTCTATCATGTTGTGTAGTAGGACATGCAGGTGCCTGTTTATTTATGATGAAGGTCCTGTCTTTTTTAACTGTGTTTATAATAGGAAGGTACTTCTCTGATGTATTCATACTCACGGTCCATCTTAATATGCGTTCAGTCTGGTAACCAGCTGAATATGCTAACAGTACAAAGGAGGTCAAAAGAGTGACTGCTGGTCACCAGTACTCATTTAAGTGCCTGGTAAATGAAGGATTATCTTAACTGTTTCCCTTTCGTTTTTTTTTTTTTTTACATTATCTAATCAAATGCAATGGCCTTTGTTTATGAACTTGTTTTTATACGTTGTTTTTAGTATAATGTTTTGTTTTTATGAATGCTAGGCACTCACACCTAGACGTCTTTTTTTTTAATCCGCTTCAGCAAATGTTCACAATAATCACAGATATATACAAAAGTATACATGCTGCTGTCAATAAAGGTTCACAGTGTTTTTACCCAATGTGTTGTGATTAATACTGTAGCCAGCAATGCGCCTTTAAGAACCACATCGGTAACATGTTTTCTTTCTCTTCTTTTTCAGTTTGGTATGAAAATCAACTTTCAAATCATTTTAACTTGCACGCAATGGCCAATAAATCACATTGAACGTGCTTTTTAGTCCATTTGTGTGGCAGTGCAACAAGCAGGGAATATTTTAAAAACTCTCCCTTGTTCGTGTATACAAGAAAAATCCAAATTAGGTATTTGGCTGCTGAAACACATTGCATCAAGAGAATTTGTTCACTTCTTTTACTGAAAATGTTGCCACCTTTAAGCCAAGTGAAGAGTTTTTATGACGGCTCCTGCTTGCAGCTGCTGTACCACACTATAATTCAGTAAAAAATAATATGGGTGACGAAATGTTCAGAGGTGGATTACCTACCTCAAGCAAGTCTCTGCAAGAGATTGTGTGTAAATAACAGCTGCCTGTAAGTACAAAATCAATCTTAGAACTTGTGGCATGCCTTTGAATAGGTTGAGGAGTAATAAAAAGTACCTACACTTTATATTTAATGGGCTATAATATATAAAACTATCTGTACTGTGCTGTAAAAGCACCTTCAGTCCTTTCTTATCTAAATGTTAATCCAAAAGGTTCTCTCTCCTAGTAACCACTAGGGGGAGGTGTATGTCTTCAGTGTGTATTTTTAAATCTAACCCTCAAAGCTTGCCAAATATTTTTTTTCCATATAATTATGTTTAGAGTTGAATAGGCTAACATGGCCTTTTATAGCTGCAAAAGAGGATTCCCATATGAGTAAGAGTCCATGTTGTCTTGGATTAGTGACAATGTTCTCCTTTGATCTGATAAATATGTCATTAATTTAAACATCGTGTTTTATTTGGTGCCCACAGGCAAGTTCGGCAGTTTACTGTAGATATTTGAGTTCATGTTGAGCCATTGTGGGTCTCCTCTTCCAGACTTCCAGGCTATCAGACGTTTGTGTACATTATAGTTTATCTGTGTGCTTGGTGGTCTGCTGTATGTAGTGATGGATGAAGAGGCTCAACTTCAGACTTGCACACAGAACCAAACAGCTCTTCATAATACAGTTGCAGTTATTTATCCCCTTTCAAGTGTTCTGTTGGATGTATTTTTGTCATTCAGTGTTAAATTTTGCACACTTATTTGACAAACTGAGGATAAGTCATAACACTTCATATCGTGACAACTTTTTTTCCCAAGGGCATTCACACCTCAAGGAGCTCTCATGGTAGTAACAGCCCATACATTAAAATAAAAATCCCCTCACATCTTGCCAACAGATCTTGGGTTAAGAAACCATTTCCAAATACCATAATATGGGGCATTTGTTTTAACCTGCCTGGAGTACCTAATGGGTGGGATTTACTGCATCATTTCAAACACTATTAGATAAGAACAACCAAAAGTGATAGTCCTTTTCCACAGAAGACATGTTGACTCGTCACTGGTGGTGGGTGAATCCCATTTAGCTGCTTAGGTTTCAGGGTCTTGATATCGTGCATGCTGGATCACTGTCACGACTTACTGGGACACCAAGGCACACCTGCAATGACAAGTTTAGAATATCTGCTGTGGAAAAGGCCTATAGTGGGAAAACTATGCAGGATTACAATTAGTTGTTGAATGCAACTTGCATACAAGTTTCTTAAAAATATTAATTACACATACTTATATTCTCATACTTATTGCCAGCTAAGTAAACAGTGGCGTTGCAGTTCTTGAGTAGTGTGATGCAGGTCTAGTCTTGCAGAGAACTACCGTGTTATAGGGGAGTGTATAATATTGTCAAGATAAATAGAAAAGTAGTTACACAATGCATGAAAAAATAAAATAGGAACCTCTACATGTGATTATTAGGCACATTAAGTAGCCTAATGCACATTAATTCGGTCTAAAAGTATACATCCACCAGTAATACAGTACTGTATAAACTCAAAAAGGCACTTCCTCTGACAGAATCACCCCAAGTCCTTCAGCCAAAACAGATCAATGAAGACATATTTTGGCATCCAAACTCTGGGAAAACGTGGTTTGTGGTATGACATACAACAACCTGTGGGGAATAAAAAGTTGGATGTTTTGTTATTTCGGTGCCTCTGCCTGTCCACGGTGACGTTGTCGGTAGCGCAACCATTTTGGTATTTATTCCAATGAGCCTGCCCCGCCGACCAATGGGAGCGCTACTCAGATAATCCTCAGCCAATCGAGAGGCGACGCTGTGACTCACCAAATAAGGAGAGACAGCACCAAATAAGGAAACATTGTATCTCTTTATAAGGAGGGAAGTAGTTCCTCGGTTGTAATATCAGTCCGCTGCTTTAAACGCTGCTTTAAAATGAGATGTTTTTTATGCGCCCCTGAACCGCGAAGAGATAAATATCGCGTTATTGGTGGAGTATAAGCGAGCACAGGGTTGCTAACAGGCCGCTAACAGCGCTACTTTCGGTTCACAATGCGGACTATGTGACACGGCGGAGCGACATCGACAGCGCTCTTCGCGTTTTCCTTTTTGAGAAAGTGCTTAGAGTTTTGGAAATAGAGGAGGAGGGTGAACCAAACGGAGCCGGGGTTGAAGGGTCTTGGGGGCAGCATCACTTTCGAAAGTTTGTCTCGGTTATTTCCTGGAGTCTCCAAAACCACCAACTGGCCTGGTTTGTTTACATTTTGTGGCCCGGGCGTGTGTGCGTTTTATCAGCCCTTTTACCACGCGCTCCAGCTAGTGTAGCTGGTGTTTAGAGACCCGGTCCAGTAAATATAATGTTACCGAGCCGGGTTGGATCGGCACCATCTGGAAACGGCTCAGCTTCGGGCAGGGGTAACACAGGACACGGTTCGGGGGTTGTCGGGGGCGGGATCCGTCCCGTTTTGATCAGAGCAGGGCAAGCTTTACCGGGGGTGAGCGAGGGCTCCGGTGCTGCCGGGCGACAGGGGGAAAGAGACGCCGTCGGGATGCTGGGGGCAAACGGTCCAGGGGGTCCGAGAGGTGCGAGACCGGGGAACGGCACTGGGCTGACGCCTCTGCAGACCGCCGTCCAGGGCAACATGGTGGGGTTGAACACGGGAGTTGTGTTGACTCACGGAGGCAGGTTCGACCCGGACAGGGAGACTGCTCCTCTGTGCAGCGGCTCGGATAATGACTCGGACTCCGGAGATGATGATGACCCAGTGGGTTCACTCGGGGACAGCCGGAGGGGGGTGAAGCGGGAGAGAGAGATGGAGGCTGCGGTGACGGGGCAGGAGGTGGGGGTACCTACCGGAGGTTACGGCATGGTACCCGGAGGGGTCGCCGGGGCAAAGCCGGGGAAGAAGACACGTGGGCGCGTAAAGATAAAGATGGAATTTATTG